TAGGTTTGGTACACATGATTCCACCAGTTAGGGTTGTACGCTCCCGCTCTGTTTGTTGAAGGTATTTGTGCCGGCTCCGTTGATGATACCTGGCTCCAATCCACATGACTCCAGGTCTCTTTCCTTCGGCTTCACACTGGATATGAGGTGTATGGGTGGAACTGTGGGTGGTGCAGCGCAAAATCACCCATGGTTTCTCGGCAGCCGCAGGCGACCTGTGGCTGCCCCCGTAGATGTCGCAGTAACATGCAGCTCAGGAATCGGACGCTGTCAACCACACAACACTAATACTGGAATAGGCAAGCTATTTATCCGACAGTCTACCGTTAATTTCATGCTGACTAAATGCCTCTGGAGAGGTGTTGATGCCACTTAGTCACCGGATAATCAGTGTAAACCGACCAGGTAATAGAAAGGTAAATGCATGGAATAGAAGCGTTTCTCGTTTACCCTTAATATCATTGGCACCTTGTGACCGGTTTCGTCCTCTTTTCGACTAGTGAGGTAGTCTGAGCTGGTAGTAGAACTCCGAGCCTAATGGTTAACGGTTCACACATGATAACAGGGTCATTTATATCAGTCAGTACATTTTGGAACGCTTGTTGGACGGAATTTAAGTGATTGTTGAACTGATCTCCTATGCATCAGAACTCCGAGGTAAATATGTCAGTGCTCGTACTTGTATAATGATCTAATCTCTAAGGCTCTCTTGCACACAGCAGGACCCACACTGTCGTATACTGAAAATGGAAGTATTTGGTGGAATGCATCTAGGGGACCGAGTGAAATTGTTTGCGTAATATTTATTTGTTCTTGCAACCAATCAGTGAGCAACGTTGGATGCATTGGACACCACCATGAGCATGAGTGAAAATTTCCCGATTGACTATGACAAGCGTAATTGTTCAGTGGCAAAATTAGTTACGTACAAATAATCTCTGTATCTCAAAGCTTATTTCCCTTACGGATGAGCTTAGTTTCCTAGCGTACAGCAATTACAGCGAATACCCGTTAAAAATGTCTGCATTACCGGCCCATTTGGATCGTTGGTTATATCGATATCCCTGATCGACATAAGATTGTTTGTTTACCTCAGTCGCAAATGAAATCCTGCCTTGCGTGAGCACTCGACCACGCGGCAGAGCAAAAGGCAAGCTGAATTGCACCATTTTGGTACTGTTAACGAGACTATTGTTTAACTCCAGATTTCCATACAGGGACAAAAAGCTCTCAACAGGACCGATGCTTCAGTCAGCTCAAAGGCACTTTATTGATTTGCAGCGTATTTTGTACGCTGCAACGCTTTCAGCACAATGTTGCCATTACGTTTATGGCGTGCCTTAGCGAGAAGCACCTGTTAACCAAATGGATACACTACACGTTCGAAAATATCGAATAATGTTTGTTAAATTTAGGAAAAGGAATGAATACCATCCGTGAGAATTCATCGAAATTGAAACACAAAATTTATCTTGGTCAGTCAGTTGTGGATGGAAAATATTGCTTTCCGCTTTCGCGTTAATTTGAACTCATTTATGAATCGCTTTATATATGCATCATACTTGTGGGATATGTTAGTCAACAGAATCTTTCCTACTGAGTCGAAATATTAAGAAGTGTGCCTCCAGAAAACTCGCTACGCAGCACCTCTATATTGACCGACTGAATCCAAAAGTTTACATGTGCCTAGCGCTCTCATGGCGGGACTTCTAACTCGGCCGCCGCTTGTTCATAGAAAGCTTGCTGTTTCTTTATCTGCTCTGGATTTACCGAATTGGGTGGTCACAAAATGACTAATACTGTCCTTCGCCAAACTTGAAAACGGTATGAGATACTGCGCGTAAAAGGCAAGTTATAAAAATTTTTTGTAACATAACGAAACTTCTTGTGAATCGATAAACTGGGCTTCGGTACTGTTTCCTCCAACCGATAGAGATACGGGGACGTTTGTGCGAGTGACACTTGTTTCCTTAATGACATTTTATCCAATTGTAAAATTTTGCATTTTACTTGTGTTGTTTCAGAACATACCCAGTGGTTATTTAAAATGCTGGAAGTGTGCGCACTCGCGTACCACCAGCATAAATTGACTTGATGGCTCTGAAAGCGGCACTCGTCTTGAGAAAGTCACAAACTTAGCTATTTTAACTCATTCAGTTGAGCGAATCGGTTGGACAACTCATATTTTGCCTCGCGCAGGGGTGGAGTGTATAATACATATTATTTGCTTACAACTAACGGATGGTCAGAGATTATCTATAATTAAAGATTACTTTCCTACTAACATAGCATCAGGATCAACTAAGATGGAACTCGCCGACTCTAGCTAAATAATTAGAATTATAAATTACATTTGCCTAACTACTTCAGTCAATCGCAAACACATTAAGTTGCGCTAAGTAACCGGACTTGATTAATCTACTCGAGACGAGACGGTTAATCTCAGAACCATTATTAGGTAAGATAGCCGGGATAAAGTGTAGCAAAACATTGTCTAGACTTTTAAACCGTCTCTCGAGTATACAGTTGCACAAGTATATCCCACGGGAATGCGCCGTCAGTAGGGCAGATCACAACGGTTAGTGCTGTTCGTGAAGATTATTCTGACGTTTCCCATCACGAAAATTCGAACTTACTGTGTGCTAAGTTTTACAAACTGCTTCCACACTAAGCTCCGAATTTAACATAGATAGCAAATCCTATAGGAGCGAATGCTAACGGCGAAGATATATGTGAAACTTCTATTCAGCAAAATGCCCAGTGACCACTACACCGTTCATTCCTCTTACTGAGGCATCGCTAATGTGTGGTCGCGTTGGTGATACCTTGTAATTGGCTTAGCTTTAAGCAATAATGCAACTCTCCGAATGTTGGTTGCACCTAGAATCTTGTCGAATAACCCTACCTTGTGCCAGTTCTATTTTCAGAGGCTAACCCTTGAGAGATGTTGTTCTGTTAATCGAGACCAACTGGTGTGGCTGAAACGTTCATACTTCCGTATGTCCACGCAGGTTATATGCTGTTAACATGTTTATAGCTTCTTGTAGCTGACAATACTAAAACATCCCCGAATAGAGCTTACTCATATGTACAACAACACAAGCATAAATACAATTTAATACGAAAAAGCATCGTTTATGTTTTATGAGTGATCAGTGTATTATGTAGAAGTAGCCATGCCCAATATTATCGATCCTCATAACTGAAACTATGAGTTCGCAGCTTACCCTTATCATATTACCATTGAACCAATCCGAAATCCGATGGCTACCAGAAGGCGTCTGTTAGTACAGATATATTTACTGTTAAATGTATTTGATTACTGTGTAAATACAAACAGGGATTGAAACACTGCTGTGTCATCTTGGGTGTGATGGAATATCGGGCTACGGCTCAACCGACCAATATTCACAGGGTGAAGATCTGTGAGCTCGCTATAACAGTGAAGGTCATGACTTTGAATGCTTGTTGAGCTGGTCGCACAAATCTTGCTCTGTCAATCATTGTGGATTTGCGGAGACCATTTTTGTCTCAAACTCAAGCATATACCTCCTTCGATAAAGCTGAACGAATGCCATCCAGAACTATCATTCAAACGGTTATAAGACCAACGGTTCGCTATTCCTCGTTCTTTTGCTATATTGGTGCTTTCCGTGAGTGCGCACAGCTGTCAAACTTCATCCTTTCAGAGTACAACAAGGCCACGTTTGGTCTCATCTGCAAGACCACGCTGAGGTCTCTACAGCAAGCCTACATTCGTCTAAAGCCGTTGCTCTACGAGGCAGATATTGGAGAAAGACCGCCACTTCTCCTACGTTTACCGCGGCATTGCTTGCACCAATCCTTCGACTTCATTCGACACACCGTAATATCACGTAACCGGATTCTGGTCGATAACTACGCGCAAAAACGCTGCGCGTGAAGTCTCACTACCACCAGTGACGCATCTCGCAGTCCACATCGGAATAGGTGGCTGGACCCAAAACGTGACCTGCGAAACGATCAGCTGTCTAACACCTGTCTAACCAACACTGTGGAACATGTATATGAGTCCCAGACGCACCTAAAAATCTCTTACTACTCCATCCTACGAGATAGTCCTCAATAGCCGTTCTAGAATCTTTAGATCCCATCAAGCCGTGTACTTATTGCAAATAAATACCCTCCATAAAATTCAGTGACTTTCGAATAGAAAAAAGAAAAATATACGGGAAACTGCAGCCCAAAACCTTGGTAATACGTCTAAGTATGCCTGATATGCTCAAAGGCATTAAACTCCTCGAGGAAGAACTCAGTTCACTAGAAAACACATGCAGTGAATTTAGCTCTAATTACGACCAAATTTTATCATTCCCTGAACTAATCAGACTCCGCTAACGTGTATTTGGATAGACTATGTATGCCAGTTCATTATTATCACTTATCACCTCTGAAAGCCAGCAGTGTGTGCGCGGATCAAAAAATGTGATTATATTCAATATACCTGATAGGCTGAGTATCGAAAAAATTAAAACCGCCCTCCTCACCGCCTGCAACATCGATCGGTTTAAGTGCATTGGTATAAGAATTTGGAAAAATGCAAAAGGAAGTCGTGTCCGATTGTACTGAAGATCTCCGAGAAATCAGCTGCCAATACTTTTCTGTGATTCAAACGGCTAATCACTGCAAGAACTGAATTCCAAAACGCTATAGTCAGTAAAGACCAAAGGACGCTAGAAAGAAGCCTAGTTCTTAAAGAAAAGCCTCCAAATGTGTTAACTCACTATGCACCAAGTGAACAGTGAAGTAGACATTGACAGAACACCGTTAGTATCCCTGAGCGATCCTCCACGTACTAAAACCTTTACCCTTGCGGCTCATACACTGAACAGCACTACACCTAATACATCGTCGAATAAAATGTAACAACCCCAGGAACCAAATCTCACCGAAATAACAGACGAAAGCAACCCTATCTCGGCTGCTCTACCTACAAGTGATGTGCACATGAAAGATGCTGTATGTACTACATCTGTATCCCTAGGGTGCAGAACCCTAGAGCGAAATGCTCAATTAAGACTGTGATGAGCAAGGACACACCCTATAGTCAATCAGCATATGAATGCACTACCGATAATGATGAAAGAGATCACTATAAGTCATGGAATGGCTCTCCATCAACACGACAACGTCCAACGCCCAGTGTCTCCGCCACAACAGACTCCAGACCTTCGGTATGACTCGCTAAATCAGTCACGGAGAAGTAACCAATTTCCTGAGGCAACTGGTGACACCAAAACCTGGCTGTAGGGTCAATGTTAGAAACTCGACTGGACGTCCTCATATCCCACAGCTGTCACCGAAAGCAAATTGGTAGAACACTAAGCAAAATGGAACTGCAGCCAGTGAACGAACTTTGGAAATTCTTAGGGCATTGCCTACCCAGCACAGTAGCATCTCTCAGCTACTCCCACAACAGCTAATCTATGTCCCGTCGACATTCCCTCCCATGGAAATCCCTCAAAATCCTTTTTAAGACATTATATCCCACAACATAACCCCCACTAATGGGATTTCCAACACTGGGCCCCATAAATCAACAGATTATCTCAGTACTAGCTTCTTCAGTACACCTTCTTCATTGAAATCAATAAAACCTAGAGATCTCCAAATCAAAAATGCCTCATTGCGACACACCACCAATAACGGTGCTGGCAAACTGTCACTCTTAACCCTACCTCGACCAGCTCTTTCTATAAATTCTCTAGATTCCGCTGTTATAAACATTCTTTTCCTACTACCTAAATTATATCTTTTACAACTTTCATCTGTCTTAATACTCCCCATTTGTTTTCTTCACTGAAGCATGTTGCAAGTCAGACTTGAGTGACTCTCAACCTTGGGTTATTGGCTACCACCTGTTTCGATAAGATTGTCAAAGAAAACGAGTAGAAAGATGCGCTATCTTCATTGGAAATGATCTCACAGTTATGCCTGTTGATTTTGACTCTCAATGACCCAGAAGATTTGTCGTGGTTAGCAATTACTTCCCGTGACTTACTACTAGTTCGCATCTATAGATCACTTAGCGTTACCAATTATCATACTGAACAACTAGTTGACGGTATCAACGCTGCTTCAAATATCTCCTACAAACATAAGTTTGCGGGTGGAGATTTCAACTTACTGCAAATTGAGTGGACGGCGTTAACACATAAAATGTCAGGGTGTCACATGTGAATAATCCATAGCATTCAGATCAATGGTTGGACTCACCAAGTTACTCAACCAACAAGAAGAGCCAGTACATTAGATCTGATATTCACGGTGGGCATTCCGTCAGTGCTCGTCGCTATTGACAGCCCACTAATGGACTGCTACAGCAATACGGTGTTATGCTGCATGAATGTTAAAATAGCAAACAAACTACGAGTGACTAACAATTCTTCTCGTTGCATCCGTCATATGGATTGGATCAAATGTGACAATCTCCTCAGTATCCTGAGTTGGGACAAATTCTTTTTAACAAAGAATCCAACCTTAGTCACGAAAGAATTTGCAAAGAATCTTATCACATGTACCTACCTATTAACACCTACACTGTGGAACAACCCACATAACAGTAGTAGTCTACGCAAGACATGCTTCAAAATTACCACCAAATTGAAGAAAGTCAGGTGACATAAGCAAAAAAATAATAAATGCAATATTACTGCAAATTCATGAGAATCTACTGAAACTACAACATCAAGCACTGCAAGCGGAAATCACCTAAGAAAACAAAGCGCTAAAAGTCCTCTAAAATATATATCATGGTAAACTTCTCAACAGGAGGAATCCAAAGCAGAAACATCAAATCAAATGTCCGACATTAGCAGATGAATCAAGAACTGAGGACGTTAGCCAAATGTGTGAAGCATTGATCTCTTATTTTGCAACCCCATTTAATACCGATATCCGTATGTCCCATCCTCTTCTAAAACGGTAGGCAGATTAAGAGCTTTCGAATATTCCCGATGGCCTGAGTGATGTTCAAAAGAGTATACTCTCCATAATACCGTCATCTCAGTCAGGACCTGATAGTATCGCTCCAGTTGTCATCAAGTATGGAGACAAAAACATTCCTTTGCCGAAGTTAAATTTCTTCACATTTCCTTAAACGGTAGATATTTCACTCCAAAGTGGAAAATCTCAGTAATAGCACCAAAATACTAACGTGACTCGCGATCTGTAATGGCAAATTATCGCCTAATTAACATACTTCGGCAGCCTCAAACGCACTGGAGTGAATTGTCAAGAATAGTCTTCTTCAGTACTTCACAATACTATGCCTGATGAACAACGTACAACACGGCTTTCCTACGAAGCGATCCTGTGTAACGTGTCGAATACAATTCTTCGACCACGTAACATCGATTGTTGACAGTGGCATGGCAATTATTGTCATTATACTAGACAGCCACAAGGCCTTCATTCTTGTGCCACGTAAACATTTGCTGTCCGTCCTGCACTTTTACGGAGTCAGCAACCCATTGCTAAGCTGGTTTAAATCCTACCTAGAATATCGGACACAGAACACTAATATAGGACAGCGGCTCTCCTCCTTGAGAGAAGTTACAAGCGGAATTGTCCAAGGCTGTGAGTCCTTGGACAACCACTCTTCCTACTCTTTCTAAACACCACATGTGATTCCATCAAACATGGGTGATCATACCACTTTGCGGACGATATTAAACTCGTCTACTCATTTCCACCTGATAGCCCTGGGTCGGGCCTTAAGAACATACATGAAGACTTTCCTGTGCTGGACTGTTAGAATAAAATTTGGTCCATAGACTACTCCGCTGAAAAATCGCAGGTGTTTCAAATCCGATAGCTGCATCCCGCCTAGCAAGTGCGAACATCCCAACCTCCTTTTCAGTCAGGGTTCTTGAAGTTATATATTCCGTATCGCTGAACTTCTCCGAGCAGGTATCATATCAGATAGCAAAGGAGAAGCAATTGAGAGCCTCCATCACTAAATTCTTTGTTCCACTTGAAACGATACTTGAAATGTTTGAGCTTATCGTTAGACGTATGCTGAATTACTGCACAATTATCCTTATCCACCTGCCTAGAGTGGATTGATTAGCTTTAGAATACATTCAGGGTTCTTTCACAAAACACCTTATTGGCCGGTCTACCACTCTTAACTATGAAGACCGCTGTTGCCGACATAAACTAGACCTACTATGGCTGCGCCACCTGAGAAATTATCTAGTTCTCTTTCACTACATTACACATTGTCCGGTGTACACGACTGAAATACATTTCAAATTGCACAATTCCTCAACCTATCCCACAAGAAATAGGGGTTACTCACTACCCGTTTTAAGGGGAACTTGCACATACACTCTAACGTCTTCCGCGTAAGGTATACTTACATATGGAAAAAGCTACCATTGAAAGTAAGGGCAAGTAAGAACCTAACCAAATTTACAATGAACTTGAGAGCTTTCCTCACCTTGCAGAACATAATGAAAAGATTCGGTCTTCAAGTGTCTACAGATGTGTTACGTAAATCAGGTTTAAACAATACACGAGTTATGATGCAGGTTCACCAGACTCCATCATACCTTCAATGTATGCACGAAAATGCCACCGTTGAAGTACTACTTGTAGGTGGAGAAAAGAATTGTATCAATTTTTCCATCTCTCCTTCTAATGTTGCAAATATTCTACTGTCCTGTGGCATACGGATTATTTGCATCACCTAA